ATTACAATTACACCATAAAGGCATACCATTTCTTAAAGAACACACAAGTGAGTTTGCACAGTATATTTTGCAAACCTTATGCTTGCTATGACTGTATAATACTTCATATGTTACTCAGCTACGTTGGCTGAGTACAGCAATACCCCCGTATGTACCTTTGCCAGGTATATGTGGACATCGGAGGGGCACATTTGGGACACAGCCATTCCAGTTTTTTTTCAAAATTAAAATTTTTACGCTGTGCCTATGTCCCATTTTAGAGTATTTTACAAGGCTATATAATCCAAATATACCATAAAGCCATACCATTCCTTAAAAAAGACATCCCAGGGTATTTCAAACGGCATATTTTGAACCTTAGCGTGGGATCATTTTTCCGCTAGCTTATACCAAGTGTAGTTGTAATAAGTGTTTTTTCTGCCTTTTTAACAAACAAAGTGAGTTTGCACAGTATATTTTGCAACCCTTATGCGTGCTACAACTGTATAATACTTCATATGTTTCTCAGCTATGTCATCTGAGTACAGCGATACCCCCATATGTACCTTTGCCAGGTATATGTGGACATGGAAGGGGCACATTTGAGACACAGCCATTGCAGTTTTTTTCAAACTTTAAATTTTTACGCTGTGCCCATGCCCCATTTTAGAGTCTTTTACCAGGCTATATAATCATATTTATATGATAAAAAGTAGAGTGTCAGAGCATTCTATTAGCCAGCAAAGTAGCACTACTACTACCACTACACATTCAGAGAAAAAAGGTAGTATCTGTAGCAATTACCAGTTTGAGAGATGAAGAGGAAGGTCATTCAACAGCACCTTCGATAGTGTCACCAGTATTACCTGCTGATGGAACATTTCCACCCTCCACCGAAAAATGTGTTTTTTTGAAATTCTAGTAGGCTTGGAGCATGAGGTGGCATTAGAATCCAGGGGAAAAAATAAAGAGAAGCAAAAGTCTATTGTGATAATGCCATCTTCTGAAAAACAAAAAGAGAATGGTGATAGTAGTAGGAGAACGAATAGTTTGAAGCAGTTATTACCCCCCACCACCTCACCAGTGTCAAAATCACTAATAGCAAACATGATCAGGGACCCACGCGAACCGCAGGCTCTGCCACAAGGATTGGCGTCAATACCCATAGCCTAGCATATCAGCAAAACAAAGACTAGGGCATCTCCCACACAAACTACTAGCCAACACACAGAAACTATTTCCCACAATAATAGACCAGAGAGAGATTCTGACCCGAAAAGCAACGCATAGACAAGCAGGTGAATCTCTGCTACATATATTACTAGTAACGAAACATGACCCAATGGACACCACCACATCCGCATGGCATGCATACCCAACAACACCAATGTGGACCTGCGAGTCCAAACTAAGTAAGCCGCCTTACTTGCAAACACTTAGATATCCCTTCAGTCTGTACACATAGCATATTGTTGAACTGTATAAATACTATGATTGCGGAGACCTGCGAGTCTCAATGTTACACTCAGATACCCTACGCAACTAACAAAACCACGCTTTGAGAAACAAACAAAAAATAATAATAATAAAAAAAAAAAACAGAAGTTTAAATGTTTGAAACACTGTATAAGGATACTGGTTATGACTTGTATCATAACTGATTTATTGTACAATGGTAAAATATTGTAAAGTTGTAAAGCTGTAACTTTAAACTCTTGCATAATAAAGAGATTTACAAAAAAAAATAAAAAATCACTAATAGCACTACTACTGCACATAGTAGTACAACAACAAGCACATCAATAATAAGCAGCACTTAAAAAAAAAAATAGTGATCCTTTAACATCAAAAGTAAAACAAGCTATGCTAGGCATTTTGAACTGTTGGTCTAAACAGTAGTTAAAGGATCACTGTAGGGTCAGGAACACAAACATGTATTCCTGACCCTATAGTATTAAAACCACCATATATCCCCCCTGGGCCCCTCATGCCTCATTAAATATAGTAAAAATCTTACTGTATTCAAGCCTAAGCTGTAACTCTGCATGCTGTTAGACTCAGAAAAAAAAGCAGTCTGCTGACATCATCAGAAGGGGTAGCCTGATCCAATCACAATGCTTCCCCATAGGATTGGCTGAGACTGACAAGGAGGCAGATCAGGGGCAGAGCCAGCATGATTCAAACACAACCTTGGGGGGGCGTGGCCTGACCGGGTATGGAGTGAGACGCATCTCCCTGCAGCTCCTAGGCCCCAGCTCACTACCGCACCGATAAACGAGCACGAATTGACCCGAGATGGGTAAGACAAAGAGGCTACTCACCCCTGGCCCCTCACAAACGGGCTCACCGAGCCGCACAGCGGGTCCCATGGACGGGTACCTCGGAACGCCGCGAGACATGCGGGCGCACCAGGCCGCGGCCAAAATGGCGCCGCCCTCACCAGACGCCAGCAGCTCAGACAGCCCAGCAACAGGCCCAGCCAGAGAGGAGTCACTGACCCAAATTGCAGCAGACCTGGCCACAATATCTGCAAACATGATGTCCAAGGCAGATAAGATGGACCTGCTGGCTGAAATTAGGGCAGTAATCAGAGAGGAGGTCATGGAGGTGAGGAGAGACCTGACAGCACTGGAACGCAGGGTGGAGGAACTAGAGGCAGAACGTGCCCAAATAATACAACACTGCCAAGCCACAGACACAGCCACTACTAGACAAGGCAATGTCCTGCTGGAGTTAAGAAGGAATCTGGAAGATTTGGACAACCGCGGACGGAGGAACAACATCCGCGTCAGGGGACTCCCTGAAACAGCAGGGGAAGCACTACCAGAGCTCCTGCTGGGCCTGTTCACACACATATTAGGGGACAGAGCCCCAGCAGACTTTGGAATAGAACGTGCACACAGAGCCCTGCGCCCCGTGTCCGCTGAGGGACCGCCTAGAGACGTAATCTGCTACCTGCTCTCCTACTCGTTAAAGGACGAAATCATGAGGGAAGCAAGAAATCAACAGAACCTCACCTACATGGACGCCCAGATTTCCCTATATCAATATCTCTCAGTACTCACCCTGGAAGCGAGAAGGGCACTGAGACCGCTAACCACCCTGCTTAGAGAACGGCGGATACAATACAAATGGGGATTCCCCTTTAGCTTACAGGCAAAGGTGAGCAACATATGGCATATCATACGCTGGCCAGCTGACGTGCCACGCTTCCTCCGAGCCGCGAACCTCCCAGCAGTGGCAGTCCCAAATTGGGTCCTGGAGAGACAGCCGCAACGCCCAAACGCTCCAAATATCAGGCCGGGTACGGGCCTTACAGGAACTGGGTTCCGCAGAGGCGGCCCGGATAGCCATGAAGAATAGCAGATTCAAGAGCCCTAGGGGGCAGCGACCGGCGCACCCACCGACGGAGGTATACCCCAGTTTTCACCCCCCCATTCAACCCCAGAAACCACGCCGCAGTGAGACAGACCACCGGACCGCTCCCCCAAGGTTGATGCGAAGAAACAACCTCCTTAAGCAGAAGCTGACTCACCGCTGGGTATGTACTTACACCCCTACCCTGGGCCCGTAGCAGTTACGCACAAGTCAGAGTTGCTGGGACTTGAGACAATGGAGGGCCACATATTTCTTGGGGTGGTGGGATTCATGGGGATCGGGTACCACCCGGGGACGATGATGACATGGAGGGGATCCCCCCCAGATTTATAAAGACTCGGGCTCTTGCCCATAGAATCCCCACTTTTGGGTGGTTGGGGTAGAGGGGAGGCATTGGCGGACTCCAACTACTTGAATGGCACCCCAGGATAAAGTCTGGACAGTCCCATGATGTCCCAGAGGGCCCCGAGACTCAAGCTCCGCCCATCCCCCGAAGGGACTAGCGAGCCAACAGGCAGGAGAGGACACCACTTCCCCCAACTGGAATAGGGAGCAGAGGAGGGGGGTATGGTTCCTTGGGAGGGGGGAGCGGGGAACGCCAGAGGCGGTGGTTTGGTATTCACAGTTGTACTTGTTATTGTTATTGATTAAGTTCACATGCTCTATACCACTCCTAGGGGGGCACACACCTACACAAGGGGGCTGGTAACACACCTGAGCCCACGAAGCCGGGGGGGCTAGGCCGGGGCGGGGACACCCGGGGAGGCCGGACCCGTTAGGTAGCTACAGGGCCCGATTACCGACTAGACACGCATTACTCAGACCCTCAAGAACAGAGAGGAAAATGGATAATGGGAGGGGGTACCCTCGTACTACTTCACCACACCCGCAGGGAAAATTCCAATTAAACAAATACAGTGGGCTGGGTGCCGTGAGAGCAGTGCGATTCAGACGACGGTTCACCCAAGAACGGACGACCCACGTACCTCACGTGACAGACTCACACTGTACAAACCCTCGGGGGCTACTCTGGTGACATACCCCGAAGGGAATAGACACTGGGAAGTGACTGACCCCGAGGCGAGTCGTAGTCACCTAGATCCCGACCCACTAACCTGCCCTGACTTTGACTGGACTACCCTACTTCCCCCCCCGAACCTTACCCCGTGATACTCTGACATACCCATACCCCTTCCCACGCACAGCTAGGGATGGGCACTAACTATGTGCCGGCACCGCTTAACCTGTGGTCGAACAACGTTAGAGGTCTAAACGTACCCGAGAAGCGGTCTCAGCTACTCAGTACTCTCTGGGCGGAACGCATCTCGGTGGCGTTTTTGCAGGAAACGCATCTTAAAGGCGTGGAGGCCCCCACCCTGAAAAACAGAAGGTTCCCCACAGGTTATTACTCCAACCATGCCGACCAAAAAAAAGCGGGGGTGGCGATCCTCTTTTCACATACTGTCCCGTTCGTATGCACAGAGCAACGAATAGATCCAGGCGGTAGATACTTATTCATTAAAGGAACCATAGCACAACAGCCCTACACATTCGCATGCCTCTATACACCGAACCGTAACCAACATGTCTTCCTAAATAAAACACTCACTTTGCTCAACAAGTTCAGAGAGGGCTTACTAATTATGGCAGGAGATCTTAACACTCCGTTAGACGCCAGATTAGACACCTCAAGGGGAGAAAGCTCAATACCAGGTCATTGCATACGCGCAGTCGGGAGAGCTCTGACAAGGAGTGGACTAGTGGATTGCTGGAGGGCGGCGCATCCCGATGGCGGGGACTATTCCTATTTCTCAGCTGTACATCAGAGATACAGTCGGATTGACTATATCTTTATGGCACAGGAAGCCCTGACACTACTCCGCAAGGCTAGCATAGGCCTAATGGCGGAGTCCGATCATGCCCCGGTCTCAGTCCAGATCCAATCCCCACTACACAAACCAGCGGAAAGGCACTGGAAGCTAAATGAGAATATGCTGCTTAACCTGGGTGAAACTGACCCGGTTAGGCAAACTCTAACACAATACTTCGACACTAACACGACCCCCGATGTCTCGCCCTTGACGGTGTGGGAAGCACATAAGTGTGTAGTACGGGGACACTATATTAAGGTCTGTACACAACGGAAGAAAGAACATACACGACAGCTGATAACATTAAACACTCAAATAGCCAACCTAGAGCAAGCTCATAAACAAAGTCAGGATGAGGACACGTTCCTCCATCTAACAGCGCTCCGGAGACAGAGAAGGGACATATTAGCTCAGGGTCTCCTACGCACCCTTAGAAAATCGGCCCGGTTCTTTTTTGAGCACTCGGACAAAAGTGGCAGACTGCTAGCCCGCCAGCTCCGTGATCGTCGGATGGCGAGCCACATACACAAAATTAAGCCCAGTGACAAAGCTGAAACCCGAATGCCGGACGGAATTCAGCGTGCGTTCGTAGACTACTACACGGACCTATACAATATCCCCCAACCCAACACTGATGCTGCCCGCGCACGACAGACCGGCCAAATTACTGAATTCCTGGAACAAAATATAGGTAATAAGCTGACCGCGGAAATGCGGGACGACCTAGACCAACCCCTCTCCATGGAGGAGCTGGCGGCAGCCCTAAAAATCTCCAAATCCCATAAGGCCCCTGGACCTGACGGACTGCCCCTGATGTACTTACGTACGTTCAGGGACATCTTATTACCAAATCTCTTACTGGGCCTCAACTCCATACTGGAGGGGGGGCGCTTTCCCCCAGACACGTTAGCAGCCATAGTTACTGTAATACCAAAAGAGGGCAAGGACCCGACGAATTGCGCGAGCTACCGCCCCATATCGCTACTAAACGCAGACCTGAAACTATTCGCAAAAGCCATTGCCCTGAGAGTTGCAAAACACCTCCCCCACTTGGTACATTCTGATCAAGTGGGGTTTATCCCGGGTAGGGAAGGGAGAGACAACACGATTAAGGCCCTGAACATCCTACACATAGCACGAGCGCGCCGTAGAGAACTTCTACTACTTTCCACCGATGCCGAAAAGGCTTTTGACAGGGTGAGCTGGGCGTATCTGAGGAGTACCCTAACACACATGGGATTCGGCCCCAACATGCTGGCCTGGGTCCTCTCACTGTACACATGCCCCACTGCGAGGATCCGCATTAACGGGGCACTTTCAGCCCCTTTCCCAATCAGGAATGGCACCCGCCAGGGATGCCCGCTCTCCCCCCTCCTGTTTGCCCTCTCCCTGGAACCATTTCTGGGGGCGGTCAGACGGAATGGGGGAATCTCTGGATTCGACCTTGGTCGTCACGAATACCGGGTAGCCGCATATGCAGATGATATGCTGTTCTTTCTTACACAGCCGTTGATCTCACTGCCCAACCTCCTAGCATCTTTCCGAGAGTTTGGGGCACTCTCTAATCTTAAACTTAATACGGATAAGTCCGAGGCTCTCCACCTCCCACCCCCTACAGGCCCCCCAACACACCTTCACACACAATACAAGTTTACATGGTGCGAAACTAAATTAAAATATTTGGGCATATGGCTGACCAAGGACCCGTCCCATTTATACCACCATAACTATCACCCTCTCCTACTCTCACTTCAGACGGACCTTAAGAAATGGACCCCATATTACATCTCCTGGTTCGGACGTATCAATGCGATTAAAATGAACGTGTTACCCAGGATACTCTACCTATTCCAAACAGTGCCAATTACTCTCCCCAGAGCCTTTTTTAGCTCTATGACGACTGCCATCCGCAGATTCGTTTGGAACTCTCGCCCAACCCGAATAAAAAAATCAACCCTGGAACTACCAAAATTGATGGGGGGCACGGGACTGCCCTCCATAGAGACATATTACCGCGCCGCTCACCTGCACAGACTGACGGACTGGCACGCACAACACCCATTAAAACAATGGGTGACCATTGAGCTAGAACAAACTGATAGAAAATTACCCTCTAGGCTTTGGCTACATACTGCCACATACGCCGACCTGCACACCGAGAACCCACTAATCGACGCCACGCTCCGAGTGTGGATAGCTATACGCTACCGACTGCAACTCACAAGTTCTCCTAGCCCCTTGACACCCATCACACATAACCCAGACCTGGCCGATGCTCTAACCCCACAAGACCTAGCCGGCCTCCAGCAGGCAGACTGGATGTACCTGCACCAATGGCTCGACACTCAGGGACTTATACCACTCAGAAACCTCTGCCCAGATAGACCACCGACGATACTCGAACAATTCAGATACCACCAAGTTAAGACGTACTTCATATCCTTACATGGTCGAGGACACCTGACTAGACCCCTCACCAGCTTTGAACACCTGTGCGTACACCGAACACACGTACACAGAGGTATCTCCACTATACATACCATACTCAAGACCCAAACTAACGAAGATGTGGTGCTCAAATTTAAAGATCATTGGGAGAGAGACTCGGGGGAAGTCCTTACTGTGCAAGACTGGGACAAGATTTACACTCTCACACATAAATGCTCTATCAGCTCCAAGTACCAGGAGCTGAACTACAAAATTTTAACACGCTGGTACAGAACCCCAGACGTACTCAATCGCATGAACGTAGGTGCCCCGGACACCTGCTGGAGATGCGGCTTGCATACCGGCACGTACTTCCACATCTGGTGGCAGTGCCCCGAGATTACCACATTCTGGGAGAGGATCAGGGTAGAGATAAACAGAATCACAGGTGCGGAGCTAACCCTAGAACCCCTAACGATGCTATTACACCACACCCCCACACCCGTTAAGACATATAAGAAATCCCTCTTGCTGCCACTACTCAACGCGGCAAAGGCCCTTATCCCTGTGATGTGGAAACAGAGGGGAGCGCCTACCCTCCAGCAATGGGTGACAAGGGTGGAAGAGATCCACTCAATGGAATCCTTAACTGCAGACCTCCACGGTAGACAGGAGCAATGTGCACTGACCTGGTACCCTTGGGAAACATACCTAGCCAACAGATTAGCAAACCCAAACACGGCCCCCCAGAGGCCCGCAGTTAACCGACTCATACAGAGCTAAGCCACCCGGCTACTCCTCCCTCCTAGGTCCCCTACCTCCTGACCCTTTCCTGAGACTGGACATTGGACTGAACCCCAACGACCGACTCTGACGAGCTCGTAAATGGGGCTTATCAATACGCACACCCACTGTAATCACAGGTGTAAAATACACAGGAAACCGAGACCCAACCTAGAGCTGATACCGGCGTGAAAATATCCCCTCCTGGCCTCCTAGACTGATACCTAGAGTATCCTCCCTTATGACAAACTATTCCGATAGGCATACAAATATATACACCAGCAACTGCCAACCCACAATAGTGGGGAACTTAACCTAAACCATCACACTTTGCTCTCACCTAGGCGACAAGATGGCCTTGAATGTTAATAAGTGCTGAGTAGTCTGGGGAGGAGTTAAGGCACTAAAGATATCTTTTCTCGCTAGCGTGGCCCTATACCATGCCCAACAATATATATATACATGTCAAGCGACAAAAAGGTTCCTGACACTGTTGGTATGAAACGTGAAATGAGAAATGTAGCGTGTCAGAAAACTTACCCCCCACAGCACCCAGACTAGACACCGATCCACACCCTACACGTAGAGCGCACACCATAGGTGCAACAAACTGCGCATTGTAGGCTAGTGGGGATACGAGACTAGAAACCTGACCTTAAATAATTCTACCTAAAGCATGTGATGGAAACTATAGAAATATTGTTTGAGAAAACTGTTTTGAGAATGTTAAAACAATGGTGACGAATGTTGCTAAGCTATTCAGAAAACTGATGTTAAAATTGACGTTATACCGTTACTACATCTTTCCTTGAAAAAATGATAAAACTTGAAAATAAAGATTGTCAAAAAAACAAAAACAAAAAAAAACAAACACAACCTTGGCCAATCAGCATCTCCATATAGAGATGAATTGAATCAATGAATCTCTATGAGGAAAGTTCAGTGTCTGCATGCAGAGGGTGGAGACACTGAATGTTTGGATGCATTTTAGGCAGCCATGACCCAGGAAGGATCTCTAACAGCTATCTGAGGAGTGGCCAGTTAAGTTATCACTAGGCCGTAATGTAAACACTGCATTTTCTCTGAAAAGACAGTGTTTACAGCAAAAAGCCTGAAGGTAATGATTCTACTCACCAGAACAAATGTAATAAGCTGTAGTTGTTCTGGTGACTAAAGTGTCCCTTTAATCACAGCACTATATCACTTTATATATGTAAATGCATGTTTAACATGAATATATTGTTTAACGAGCAATCACTTTGATATCTTATATTTCATATTCGCATTCTTTCATTTATTAGTATAAGGGATAAAGCTTCCTAAAAATATAATTATTTGATAATTAGATGGAACACACGGATATAGGGGACCTTATAAACAGAGATGCATTTTGATTTGTTAAACAATGTGAAAGCTTGAAACTTATAAGATATGTAAGTGTAAAGTACAATTTTTCTTATGAATGTGTAAGTTTTTACTCACAGTCGTGATATGGAGGTAACACTATGTTGTACCTAGGTTTATAGACACATGCAAGTATCCTTGGCGAACATCAGAGGGGGATGAGATAATTTTCCTATGCTCCCGCGGTGTAACAAATGGTCATATTGGATGGAATGAACATTGGAACTCACAGAAGTGCATCATCAAAAAAGGGGAAGTCTTCCTCAGAGGTTTCCCAGAGAACATAGGAGATCGAATTAATGGCAAATGGTAACAGCTGTGAAGAGGATAGTCGACGGATCAGGCCTGCCCATTTCAGTTTGTCAGATTGGTTTGATAAGTCTATGTTGTTTGAGACCATATGGCAGCCCAGGAATGAGAATTACCCCCATCATGGCATACCATTTGCAAAAGTAGACAACCTAGGGTAATTGAAATGGGGTATGTCCAGTCGTTTTTAGTAGCCACTTAGTCACAAATCCTGGCCAAAGCTAGCA